AAAAGACTTTTTCTTGGCCATTTATTAGTCTACAGAGATCTCCTTTGCACAATGACAATATTAATAGGTATCATATTATTAGTAGAAACATTCAAGTGAAAGGCCATGTTTTGGGACAGTTTTGTTCAGTTCTCTGACAAATGAAACCACTAAAACTGTATACAAGTGAGAAGTAACACACGACTAGGACCCTAGATATAATTCTGGATAGCTGCTAAAGCAGGCTTAAGTTTAAATAATGCATTTGGTGCAAACAGACAAATGATTGTGCAATTTCACGTTAGAAAATAGATTTTATTTGTGAATTTATAAAAAAAATAATAGAAAGAATATAAAGGACAACTTTGGAAATAATTTCTAACTTTCATATTTTTCCTTTAAAGCAGTAGGTATAAACAGCTGGTGACAGTGAATTGGCTGTACTTTGCTTTCCTGCGATACTTTGAACTGGAAGTGATACTAAAAAGTCATTTATGATTCTTTGGGTATAGAAACTGTTTTTCAAAATACTGATATTTTCCTTGTAAATACTTTTTAAAGCTCTATTTTTAATAATATTTTAAAAATACTTTTATTTGTTCTTTTAAGATGCAATTTTAATATGTGTAAAGCAAATACGTTTAAGATCATCAGTTTGGAAGTGCATGTTGAAAGCATGTGTTGATAGGAACAGTGACTGTGTTAGAAGAATTCAGTTTTCATTTTTATATTATGAAAATACTTTTGAGTTGCCTGATGAAGCTGAAAGAGACAGTACATTCAAAGAAAATACTGTTTATTCTGTTTATAAATTAAAAAGAATATTTGTTTCTGAATATTTTTATATAAAGACAGATAAACTTTTGGTAATGTAAAAACTCATGGAAAGCAAAATTAGCAGTTAAGAGGAAAAAAATAATGTGTAATGTGCTTTCATGTTGATCATCAAATGTTTATATTATTTATTTCCATGCCTCAAGTGTCTTACAGTGTTAATATTTATAGTAACAGGTTTTATGATATTTACAGTTTAATTTCATATTTCTAATTTAGCTGGGGTTATTGTTTAATATGATTTTGTCATTTGTATATTAAAGAAAAAACAACATTTTCATAATAATTTCATGGAACTGACCCTCTATAGAAAACATAAGAGCATTTCTCTCAGAGGCAGTTTTGGTTATTAGTGTTTATTTTCACCTCCCTTTAGGATACTTTAAGTAACACAGCAAGCTTGATTATGAGAGCAATTGCACACAAATGCAAGGAAGATTTTAGATTCTGGACACAGGATTGCATGGAGAATATTTCTATCTTCCTTAGAAGTTCACCTGTTCATTTTAGTACCTATCTGTCTCAAGGTCTTTATTGTTTTAGTTCATTATTGCAGAGCTAAGTGTGATATGACGTAGATGCTTTTAATGCCAGTATCCCCGCAAAGTGATGTACTGGCTGCCTCGAGTTGGGCCAAATAGGTTATGTTTAACAATATTAGTAGCAATAGCCCACAGAGGTAGTGCTGCTGATTTTTTTTAAGATGCAATGTCCCCTTTGTCAGCATTGAACCAGTCCTGCAGTACCTTAATTTGTGATTTGCTAAGGCACTATCCTTGAGGTGAATCATAAATTTGTGGCTTGGGAGACCATGCCCAATTCTTGGAAATTTTTATAAATGCAGAGTATTAAACAGGGTGGCTCTATTGTTTAGCTGCCTGAATTTCCCATACACTTTTAGCTTACTAAGTTTTCTTTTCTTTTTTTGTTCCTCTGTTGAAGGAGGGTTATATCTTGCCCAACAGTAGCTGTTATTCCCTGGGGGATGGGAGAGGGCAGATGAATTGTATCTGCTTCTAGATTGGTAAAATATTTTGGGAACTCTTCAGATGGGACTGTTACAAAATATTATGCCAGATATCACTTATGGTAGAGAGTGAGAGGAGACCTTTCCCTCCAAGTGTCCTAAAAACTTACGTGAAGTATAGTAAGTTACTAACACCTATGAAATGAGTAGGGTTTTTAAAATGTTTTGTTAGTTTCTGTAAGACTCTGTACTTGTTGCTGAAGTCTGAAATTTTTTGCAGAGCTTAATCTGGTTTAAGTCTTTTGGCTATGGGTGTTTGGAGTCTTCTTTTTTTCTGTGCTTTATCTGTGTTAATTATAATGAAGGGTGTTGGAGGCAGAGAACATGACATACAACTGGCCTAATAATACTCTGCAGTGAGATACTTCTCCATCTCCATCAGGACCTATTGTAGCACTATTATATTATGATATAGGACTATATCAGCACTATCGTAGTGCTTACTTTTAAGACAGCAATGCCGCTTCACCAAACTTCCTCCTACAGTGAGAGAAGTAGGGATAACTCTTGGAAAAGGTTTTGAGGCTAGTGACAAAATATGTTTGTCTTTCAGATCCCCAGCTCAAGGGTATAGTGACCAGGTTATATTGCAGGCAAGGCTACTACTTGCAAATGCACCCCGATGGAAGTCTCGATGGAACCAAGGATGACAGCAGTAATTCTAGTAAGTGCCTGCCCCAGGGGAATGTCGCAGATTGCATCGCTCGAGTGTGTACGCGCAGACGCAGCGGTCGTGCCTTTGGAGGGGTGCTGAATGTGTTTGGTCAAAAGGAGGAGGGTTCTGTCCATTTGGAGCCTAATGACTGCCAGCATGGCTTGTGCAGGACGTTGGCCTAAATCTCTTCCCTCTGAAGAGGAAGGCGTCCCTGCCAATGGACCTCAGGGGTAAGATATTTAGGCCAATGGTTGTCTTCTGGTAATTTTATAAAAATGGTAAAATGATGTCAACAATATTTTCTATAAAAGCGATATATTTAACATAAATTTATTGTCTTCAAAAAAAAGAGATAGAAACAAAAATTCCTTGAAAAACCTGATCGTACAGGCCCTGATTCAGCAAAGCAAATAGATGTATGTCTAACGATGGAACTCATGCTTAAACACTTGCTGAAGTACTTTGCTGAACTGGGGCTAAAGATCCTACAGTCCCTATACCAGCAAGAGTTCAAATAATTTTAACAGAATTTCTGCCATTGTAGGGACTGCAACAGTGGCAGTTTTCGAAGTATTCCAAACAAAAGTGGTCTGGAAAGGCCATGTGGGTCATTGCTTTGGTACTCTCTCCCTATAATACTGTCACGTATTTTTATTCAATACATTCAATACATACGTTTGATAACTTCAGTAATTAAGCAAACCTCTTCTTACTCTACAAACAGCTGATTTTTAATTTTCTGTTTAGTAGAGAACATTTGTATTTGATTCTTTTAATGATAATGGCATATGATTTAAGTAACATATTTTTGTGTGACCTTGTGGTCTATTTTAAACAGCTGTAATACAAAATATTTATCTCCTTATATGCATATATAAGTAAGACTTCAGCTTCCTCAAAAATGTTGGAATTAGTCTATAGAATTTAAGGGACTTAGGTTTCTACTTTGCATTGTTCAGGTCCAACTGTTTTGTCTGTTAATGCACAGCTGTCATTTTTAACACATATCATCAACAGATAGCATGATCATCTTATTTTTCTAATTCTTTTAATAATTGAGAAAAATAATTACTGTTTTGATTTGCATTTCTCTTCTTGTTTTCCAAGTGTGTTTTTTTTTTTTTTCTCACTGTTCCTGTTTCTTCCCTCAGTGCGTCCATCTCTCATGCCCACTTCTGTACTGGACTAGACAGTAAGACCTTGTACAGAAGAGATTATTGATTTTCATAGAAGTCTTGCCTATATGAAGTCCAAGGAACGTGACTTAGAGTGCGAGTGTGTATCTCTCTCCCCCTCTCCTCTCTTGACTTATCTCTCTCTTATTTTCAGCTTCAGTGAGGAGGTGTGTTGTAGTGTTTGTTTGGCTGGGTTTTTTTAAATCTTTGAACTCTATGAATTTTGAATCTTTGTGAAACTACACCATAGTGCCTTACTTTTCTCTTTTCACTGTTGTCATCTTTACAGATCTTCCTTTTTTTTAACTTACTATGTGATTTTCCTCTTCCCTCCCCTTTTTGGATTTCCATCTGTCTAGCCATCTCTCTTGTTGCTCCAAAATAGAGAAAGAATATTCTATGCTATAAATATTCTGAAATACAGAACTTGTCCAAACTCAACCAAATACCATGTAGTAATATGGTGTATTTTGGATAAATACTGCTAGATAATATTGTTTCACTTCAGCATGATTTTTGGGCTAAACAATTTTTTTTTTCTTCTGTAAAGGGATTTTCTTCTTTTTAACTGCTGCGATTCACTATTTATTTCTTCACTAGTGCAATTTGAAAGTATTGTTTAGTAAAGAAAGTTTAGACCATTAAGGATATAAAATGAATGTGCTTACCAGGAAAGCATATAGTCTTCTCCTTAAATTTTGCCAGTATACATGTATCAACACTATACTGAGATGAAAAAATTGATCCATTGGGTATATTCATGAATATATGAATATGTATCAGTTTCTTTTGTGCTGCAAGTCTGTCTTCTCCGTTCTTTTCCCTTTCCACTCTCTTTCCTTCCATTTCCTGTTGAACTTTTTTTTCCTATTGCTTTCATTTTTGCAGAATATTTCATTTTTCCTTTTCTCTTTTACTTTAAAATGATAATTTTCTCGTGGATTGAATTCCTAGTTTTTTGATCTTTTATTTTGTGAGCTCCTTATCCTAATATCTTCTGTCAGAGGCTTATCGATAAAGACTTTTTGGCATCTGCTGGGGGAGGAAATCCTGTTTCTGACCATGGAGCTTTCAGGCTGCCTATTTAATGTGCCAGATGGACAAAGGCATGGACATAGATTAGCTGTCAATAGGACAGATAGCACACTTACCTTGATAGTGAGGATGACTTCCACTTGAAGTGTTTCATAAAAATGGAGGAAATAAAGACTGCTGAAGGGTATGCATCTCTGCCAGCATTCTACCCATCTTCACTGTCTCTGAAGCCTGTGGAAGAGTCCTCCTTAGAATCATAGAATCACCATGGTTGGAAAGGACCTCCAGGATCATCAAGTCCAACCCTTCTCCCAACATTTCCCTAACCTTCCCCTTATGCACTGACCACCTGACTAGCTGGGTATGGAAGAAGCCAGAGTGAGTGAGTAGAAAGGGACAGAGGAGAGAAGTGATTTTTTTGTCTGCAGCAAGGAAACTGTTTGAAGCTTAGCCATACTGCTACTTTTTATGCTGTTGCAATTTATTCCGTGTCAAGCAGTTAGAGAAGTTAAAATTCCCTCAAGCGCATGTATGCTTCTGTACTCATTCTATATCTATGTCAGTAAACATGTTTACTGTGTTTACTATATTACAAACACTACTGGAGTTGCAAGCCATTGTCTGGGCTTACCTTAAGTTTGAGAGAAGGCTAGAGCCTGCACAGATAGATGGCAAGTTTTTCAATGTGTCATTGCACAGAAACCCTTGCATGAAAAAGGAAGAAAGATATGACTGCTTGCAATTGCATCCCTGAATATGTTTTTGTCTGTTCCTGTTGGTGGCCATGTTATTAGAACCCAATCTAAAGGCTGATGGGTTTCAGTTCATTGATGTAATTTCCAAGTTAGTGATGTTCTGTGACAGAGTATGAATTAATGCACCTAATGGTCAATGGTGCTGAGTTTCCTTAAATCACACCACCAAACCAAGGCTGTTAGCTTAAACCGTCTCATGCAATAGTCTATATTTTTTTGCCCAACTCCCAGTGATACGTGGAAAGAGGCTTTATTACATTGCTTTTCTTGGTTTAGCTGTTTTAGCTATTTTAGCTATTTTAGGTATTTTTCCTTACTCTGATGCCTTACAGTTTCTGGTTTGTTTTTGATGCTTGCTTGTAGTGAGAGGTTGGTTGTGGTTAAAGTTGTAGGCTTGGTTATTGACATCCTACTCAGCATAGCCATCCCTCTCTAGCTCTGATTTTCCTGGATTTTACAGCAGCTCTCAGCATTACTTGATGCAAATGGAACTTGCTTCAGTGTTGTCCATGGGCCTCATCATTAGTAATTAGGAAACACAAGCTGCTACTACACAGAAACTATAAAGAAATAGAAGAGATTTCCATGTTATGCTTGTGGTAACAAGAGTTACATTCTCCTCCTGACCTCTTCCTTACCCAAAAGTGCTCATTTTCAGGCATTGGTCTGTCTTCAGAGTTTTGACTCATGAATGAAAAGTAAGTTTAGTAGAAGACTAGTGTGAGATTGAAACCTTGAATCTCTTAGCCCTATGGCTTACTTTGATTCACATGAAAGGTGTATCTCAGCCAACAACCACTGAAAATTTTCAACATAAATTATAATGCTTTCCCTGGTGGGCGATAAACCTGATTTTAACACGTAAATGTTGCTATTTGTGCCCCTTGTGAAATTACAGCCAAGTTTTAAACAAATTAAAAGAGCATAACTAATTTGTAGCCTGATTTCATAAACTGATAAATGCCAAAGTTGACATTACCCAAGCAACTTTGATTTGGCTCTTGCTTAATTATGCAGCAACTTATTTTACTTCCTTTGTGGCACTTGGTACCTGGTATACTTGTTGTTCAAGAAACCATGCAGCCATTTAACATTCCTTTATTTTCATCTTCTAATGCATGCTCCTAATGCTCTATTTATATCTTCCAATCTGAATATGAAGCATTAACTTTTTAATGTCTTTCTAAAGTACCTACCACTATCATATTGTGGTTTGAAGATATTAATAATCTTCACAATGCCCTTCTAAGGTAAAGGAGATAATGAGATAAAAATAAAGCACATGAAGATTAAAATATAACACCTGCAATGCTGTTATATTTGGATTATTGAATGTTAAATTTGGATTACTGAAATTAAATATTTCCAATCTGTTTTTTGCACTGTTTTTTACTGCACTTTGTCTTCAAAGAATTATACAGGCATTTAGTCATCTATTTACATCACCTTTGGGAGTTAGGTAAGCCTGTTTCTCCCATCAGTATAACCTTAGTGTGACAGAATCCATGTTCAGCCATGCTAAAATGTGTGTTTTAATTCCATCTTACGTAACATCAGGTGGGTAGAATGGGTTTGCCTTGTAAGAAATGGATGGACAGACATCTGAATACCAGCCTCCCTGCACTCATTGCCAATCTCTGAGACGTTCTGATGGAGTTGTTAATTTTGCCTGTAGGTATGCGGATGGCAATACATGAAAGAAATAGTTGCCTGATCTGACTGCAGATTTGGTGCTGTGGAAAGTTTTGTTAACTGACACCAGGACAGTTCCGTAGTGCACATGCAGAATGGACAGCAAGTTTATAAGCCTTAAGCAATTGGTCTCTAGCAGGCTTGTTGAGAAAAAAAGTGATCTGTAATGGCAATTTTCTTGTAGCTACAAGTCAGTTGTACCTAAACACACCTTCACAAGGATATGGAAATATCCGATTTGAGGCATTTCAGATTTCAAGTTAACAGACTGTGATGGTATTACATAAAACAAGGAAAAAGAAATGTGGTGGGTTTGTATTTTGCTCAAGGAAGGAATTATTACTTATCAAAAAGTGGACTTTCACTTTGGCTTAAACTTTTAGAGGATAAGAATCCAACTCAATTTTTTTTCCTGCAAATCCCATCCACAACAGCTAAACCAACAACTTTTTTCCAGCGCTTGTTGTTCCTGTTAGCTGCCCCCCACTCTCATTTTCCGATCTTGTGTGCGGTGGGAGTAGCCTTGCAGGCTTAGGAAAAGGAAGAGAAACTATTTACTGCACAGCTGTGGTTCAGATGGAATGCAAAGCAGAGGTAAGAGAGTGTGCAGAGGCTCAGCTCTGACAAGGAGGAAGGGTTTTACTCACCACATTTTTGCTGATTGGATTTCTCTGATGTTCCCATGCCTCACTCACAGCTGGATTTGCCAGGCTTTACACCTAAGCATGCAGTATGGGAGCACTGAGTGCCAGGCAAAATTACATTTCCTGGGCTGTTCAGGGTGCTCCCTCTCTCTCAACTCATCTGTGGGCTCAGCAGGTTGGGTTTGGGTACATAAAGATGTTCAGGACCTCCCTGCGTAGTTTTGGTTTTAGATTGCTGTCTTAAAGATAGAGGGAAGCTGGGGGCATGGTTCTTTTGCACACCCTCCCCAGGGAAGGGCACAGATTTGGCTGTGCGGACCTGAAATGCCAGCAAGCTCTGGAAGGCTTTCTGCTTTTCTCATGCCAGGTTCTTACTGGAGTGGCAGATAGCAGAGGTGAATCCTAGGAAGGTTTGAAATGCCTAAAAGGGCACAGAAGTACTTCTAAGTAAAGAGTACTGCGCAGCTAAGTTCTGGAGGAAATTGAATTTCCTTTGGCCAGCTTCAGAGCCTGTAAAAAAACACATGATATGGCTTATTGGTGCATATTTTGCTGTCCTCAGTATGAAGGATATTGCTGAGTGTTTGTCAATCAATAACTGAATGTAGACTGGCCTCCCTAGATTCCCCCAAGACCGAAAGGTTTTGTGGAAGTTACTGAACATTCTATATGTGTGCAGAATTACAGCATATCAGATTGCACTCTAAAATTTTATGGTCTTAGACTAATTACAGGAGCTCTGACAAGCTCCGATTAAAACTTGGTGGTAGTAAAAGATATATTATATGCTCTCCTTAGTGCTTTCTAAATTTACTAGCAAGTGTAAGTCGCTCTAATAATTTTATGGGTTGCATAAAACTCTGCCATGTTATAGGCCTCTCATTCTGCCTCAGTGGTGGTGGTTTGTTTTCCTAGCTTTGCTGCTTTATTTTTATTGGTAACAGCAAATTATGTCTACGTTCCAGAAGTTTTGACTGAACCACTATGATTTGAAGTTACTTTTCATTAGAGTTTTTCCACAGCTGACTTGTCTTTTTTGTTCACTTCTTCTCTTTATACAAGTACTGTTTGGTTTTCCTTATTGGTGTCCCCTCGTTTGTTGCTGCCCTCCCTTCAGGTTTTCATATGCATGTTTCCTTCTGGAATTATTTTCTTCTAGAAGAAAACAAACTTAACTGCTGTCTGATACCTAGCTTTAACGTGAGAGACTACACACCCCCCTCAACAGTGGTTTTGCTAGTTTTGACCTTGTTTCATGTTAGGGTAATGGCTGATTGTTTTTTTAACTTCCAAATTATATTCAACTTAAAGCCCTCAAGTCTTGCAGTGTTCAACCTATATACTCTTAGGATATCTTGCCTGTGAGGGCTATGTTTCACTGGTTTACATTTGTCTTGTATAGAATAGAGAAGGAACCTTCTCTGTATCCAGTATTTTTCTAGTGAATAGCCCAGTAAGATCCTAGCATGATGGAGGCTTCTGGAAACTACAGAAATGAAAATGTATTTGTGCTAAGTCTTGTCTGATGTCATCTCTTCTATTCTTCTTTCTAAATTCATAAATTTGTTTTCTGTTCTTCCAGAGCTCTTTTGAATATATGTTTCTTTCTACAGGTGTAGGAAGTGCTCTGCTGTAACAATTCCTAGTTTTATACTGGCTTTGTACATTCCTCAAAAGATCTTATTTTGCATATTCTTGTCCTGTGTGACAATATTGAAGGAGAGGGGTGGGGGTTTTTCCATCCACTTCTATTTTTAAATTTTAGCCATAAACCTCTGTTTTTTCTCAGTTGTAAAGATTTGATCATCTTCATCAGAAATGATCTGTGACTTTGTGTCCTTTGACCCGTCAGGAGTTTTCACACCTTGAGAAAACATACTTATCCACTGCAATGACGTGACCCTTCCTTTCCTCTTGATTTGGACTTTACTTCTGGCATTCTGATTGCAGATAGCCTCATAGGGTACACTTTCTGGTCATAACTATGGATGTCCTTCCTAAATTATAAGGAATTCACTGTAGGTGTTACTGTGCTTCTGAGACCTGGCTTGTTGGAACCATGGTCCTCACTGCTTATGTGGAAGACACGGGTTGTGCTTCTGGTTTTTATCCAAGTATTTGTGAATCCTTGACTCAGCCACAGTGTTAAAAAACTTGGCATGAACTCTGGCTCATCCAGATCTTTTCTTCTCAGATTGTTTGATGTGTGCTTTGATTCTGATTTCCTAGTATGAGTCAGTAAACTTAGTGAAGGTATGTACTGGCATAATTTTTAGAAGATGGATTGGTGTCTCCCACTTAGATCACTTTTTCTTTTGTTGTTTTCTAGTGAAGGCTGGTAAACTCCCACCCTTCACACTGGTCTTTTTCAGACAATAATCAAAGCTGTGGCTGTTTTTGTTATTACAGGCATATATACCATTGCTAGGGTATTTGCTATTAGCTGGTTTTCTATTTTTTTTCCCCAGAATTTCAGTCTTTGAACATATTGTATATTCAGCTCCACAGCATTTATGCACATTTAAAGTAAGCAAATATTTCACCTATTTTCTGAATTGTGATAAGCCTCTGCCATTACCTAAGGCCTTTATACTACTACTTCTATCAAATACATCATTCACAAAAGCAAAAAAAAGAAATTTTTTAATGAAATCAGAGACCCCTTGACAGCAGTCTTGAATGACAGCACAATTTAATCCAAAGCCATGAGAATGCCTAGGAAAATAAAAAACTACTTGCCAGAATCAGGGAGATATGTTTTCTGCAAGGTATCTCACATGTGTTACCCTTATGATCAACCTACATTAATGCATAAACTGTTGGGCTCTTTGACTCTTTTAAGATTGCCTGAGATACTCCTGCCTGCAATGCTTTGTAAATTATTACAGTCCAGTCTGTTGTGCTTTGTATTTGTTAGTTAGCACTTGTGCCAAATACTGAATTATTGCAGGACTTACTGCTAGATAGATAATTAGGCTTTAGTGTTAAAGATTAACTTCACTAGGAGCAAGATTTTCTGAATTATTTTAATTTTAAAGTCAGAAAATAGTTATACAGGGAGTAGTATTCTTTCTTTTTACTAATGCTGTTTATTAGAATATTGTAATAACCATAGTATATTCATAGCTTCTCATGTTTTTTCTTCACAGCGTTATTCAACCTTATACCAGTGGGACTTCGAGTCGTTGCTATCCAGGGTGTAAAGACTGGGTTGTATATAGCCCTAAATGGAGAAGGTTTCCTCTACACATCAGTAAGTACCTTTCTGAAGTCTAAGTGGTACAGCCAAAGCTGAAATCCACACAAGACTGAGTTTCACTTTTAAGTTCTGTAATGTCAGTTTATGTATATACATCTAGTACACACACCTGTGGACCCATGTACGTGTGCAGCTTATCTAGAAATGGGGGGCAGTAGAAATTACTGTATACTCTGAATGGAAGTCTGCATCTTAGCAGTACTTAACATTCTGTAGAGCTCTTTTTCTGGTAGGCTGTACTGGTAATGAATTTTTAAATAAAGACTTGAAATTATTTTCTTAGTGACTTGTTGATCAGAATCCAAAAGTTGCTGCAACAGTTACTTTTAATGATAAGACTAGTGTATCGTTTGTCTAAAAAATTGCTAACACCCTTAGAGTTAATCACCATAATCTTCTAATTGTATGGTTAGCATTATTGTTTTGGGTTTTTTTCTTTTAAATGTCAGATATCAGAAAAATAGAGAGTTCTGTGGGGTCTGTTTCTTTGTAAAATGATCAAAATTTGAGAAAAAAATCTTTTGATTCACAAAGAAGACTTCTGGATAAAGTGATTGGAAATTCTTCAGGTTGTTTAAGATATTCCAAATGATTTAATGCTAATCACTCAGTGTGTTGTTGTGAATATAAAGATCCTCAGTTTTGTGTAAATTTAGTGTCAACCTCCTCTGAAAGGCAAGCAGACTTTAATATGAACAGGCAGTTCTGTCAGGTATTAACAAGGTGGCTTAAAGGATTTTTCTTTAGTACATTTTGATTGCTGTCTCTGTTGAATTTTTTTACATAGTGCTTTTTCCATTTTTCACGTCACATAGTTCTTAATTCCCCACTGAGTTACAATAAAGTGCTTTGTTTTCAATGTCCATTGAAAGGAAATTGGACAGATTAAGCAGCCTATGCCCTGAGGGAAAGTATTCTGTTTGTTTCAAATACACAGTTGTCTTGGAAAAGCTAATTGGGAATAAAAAATGGAACTAATCTTGAATGTCAATGTCAAGACAAAGAGAAAATTCATTCCTATAAAATGTCTGCTGGAAACTCCAGCAGTATGATCTAAAACATTTATTTTCTTCTGTTCAAAATAAACATTCTAGCACAGGAGAACATGCAATATTTGCTGTCAGAAGGAAGAAAACTAGAAGAAAAAAAAGTAGAGCTCTTAAAGATGTGTTGCTGACATCCCACTTCCATCGCTTCATGTGGGGAGTTCATTTCAGTACGATGGTGTGAACAGTACTTTTTTAATGTGTTGGTGCAGTTAAGAGCACATCTTTGCCCAGCACCGTTTCTGAAGCAAGTTCCCTGTCCTTCAGAAAGAAATACAAATTTCAGAAAAAGTGGCAGTTTCCTGATGGGTAATTCTGCACAGGGACCCTGCATGAACAAAACTGGCAGCCACTGTCTGTGTTTATATATTATTCTGGAAATGGTCCAAGTTAAATGAATAGTGTCACTCAGGGAAGAGAAAGGAGTGGAAATTACAAGGCAAGATAAAAAGAGATGACTGGATCCAAACTTTGAATAGATGTTAACTCCACCTTTAAAACATACTCAGGTCTAAAACGATACTTCTGTTGTGCCAGTGGGAGTCTGAATTACTTTGTTCCTATGTCTCCTTCTTTAGCAACAAAACTTAGGTTGTGATCAGTCTCATGGATGTAAATAAAATATTACGTGTAAGGAAAAAGTAATCTGTGTGCTTAATGTTTTGCAGTATTGCAAATTCTTCATTGCCACTAATGGCAACATTTGTGGATTTGTTGACTTCTTATATGCCTGTAATTATTTGCAATATGTAAAAGTACTTCTGAATTATGTTCTGTGAATGTTGTTATGTTTTGAGTGTATTTCACTTAAAAAATTATCAGAAGAGTGTCTCAGTGTCTCAATCTGTTACTTTACGTGGTGTGAGGTAAGGCAAAAAATGTTTCTGGAATATATTGCTTAGTCTTTGTCACATGGAGAATGAAAGATGAGTGGCCCATTAAATAATAAAGAGTTGTGACATGTTAGAAAGCTCAGTGCAAGCTTTTGGTTCTGGTATGTCTACAAAATGATTTTCAGCTTACACTTTTGTCACGTTGAAAAGTAGTAATTTGGTAATATAATGCATATTTAAGAGTAGTGATTTTGAAACAGTGTTGTAATACAGGTTCGTTTCATATTAATGTATTGAAAACATTGACAGTAACTTTTTTCTTAGCAATTGCCTGCTTTCAGCTTAGAGACTAATGCATTTGAAAATAAGAAGACAAAGCATCAGAGAGAAGTGTGTCTTCTCCCTGAGGATCAAGTTGAAGAAATACTGCATGCAGAATATTTTAAATATTGTAATTTGTAGAAAAATATTTTTAGCTAATAATTTTCTATTACTGTCCTGTTGGTGGATTTTTTAAATTTTGTTATATTTGTGTGACTGTTGCACCTAAATGCAGAAGTTGTGTATTACATGAGGTGTTTTTCTCTTGGCTATTCAGGGGAGGCTGTGAGAAAAAAATTTTCTAACTTTGTATGCCACCTGTCATCACTGAAAAAAAGTGCCACATAATGGGAATGCTAGCTAAAATGTGCATATATTTAGATATAGTACCAATTTTGGAAAAGCATTTAAAAATAAATGGAAGCATGCACTATAGACTGATCCTTTCAGGACTGATTGAGTCCAGGGTCCCTAACACACACCACCAAAGCCTTGTCAAATAAAGGAGAAGCAAAATCTTTGGAGTTTGATGTGGCTTTGCAGAATTCCTGAGAGAAAATGTAACCTTATTTTTCAATGCATTTAAAGTAATTATTGTAACACCATGAGTTGTTATTTTCTGTCATATAAAATATGAGAACAAGAGCCTTTTTCACATTCATTTTTTTCTTGCACTTTTTAAGATTCAGCCCACTTAAATGCTATCCAGTAAGCTCATGTTTTTTGAACTTTTTTTAATTGCATCCATCTCTATTTCTGTGTGTATGTACGCCTAAGCTATTACATATATCTATCTAAATATATATCTACTCATCATTAGGATATATTTATATAGTGACAGCTTCCCAATTGTAGATCTATGTTAGTGAGCAGTGAGAATTATAAAACCGAATTGAAACTTATTTCAGATGGATTAATGAACTGTGAGTAAGTCAGTATTTGTCACTGACTTCATCACTGTGAAAGTTAGTTGGACATGCTGGAATTTCCCATAAAGAACCAGCTTAGTTACTAGCAAGATATTTGACACAATAGCTATGCGCTTTTGGTGTTAAAAGTCTAAAAACATGCCTTACTCCTATCTCACCGTTGGAAAGGGTGGGTAAGTGAAGGTTTTATTTCCAGAGTTGGTCCTGTCAAAATCAAAAGAAGTGGAACTGGCTCCATGCACTGAAAAAATGAGCACAGCTGCAGGGATTCTCCATGGGGAACAGGTATTGCCTGCAGCAGAAGATGGCAGTGCAGTACATGGCAGAAGCTTTTATTGGGTTTGATGCTAATTTTGGTCAACTCATTTTGCAAAAGGTTCATTAGTTCAATTTTCAGGGGAGCTGCAGCTTCTTGTTTGGCTTCTAGAATTTTCTGCTGTCATAACAGGATGAATTCAGAGGTCAAACTTATAATATGTTAGTCTGTTCTATGATTCCTGTTTTCCTGAAGTGTAGATATGAGAGTCTTCTTGGATTGTATCAATGAATTTCTCCTAGGAATTGCTTGATGTATCTGGGAGGATTTGGAAAGGCTACTGTTTGTTTGGGTTTTTTTTCATCCTAGGAGCAGTTTAGCAGCATGTTACCAGCATTTGGTGGCTACCAGAATAAGAGAAAAGGGAAAAATTAGAACGGAGAAAGGAAAAAATTCCTAACTCTGAAACACCTTTATCTGCTTGTGCTTTCTTGTTTGTGTTTCCTTTTTAACCATTTCTTCTGCCAGCTTTCACTGAGACCTGAAATGTGGACAAAACCAGAAAGACTACGCCTGTGATATTGGCAGGAGCAGATATTGAAGACATAGCAATGCACTGTGTAGTTTCTGATGAACTACAGAGATACTTTAAAACATGACTGATCCTGCAGGGCCAGGTATGAACTGCCTGGTCACTTCTTCCAGTGTGGTGCCTGGCTGGAGTTGCATGCTGAGTCTCCAGAGATCCTCTTCTGGGTGTGGGGCAGTGGGAACCTCACTGGAGGCTGAGTGTAATGGAGAGACATGGCTGCTTTTCCAGGAGGTCTTACCTGGAAGATAACTTTTATAAAAGTACTGTAATTTATAAAAGTACTATAAAATCTCAACTTTGTATAAAGTATTTCAGAATTGGGGATGGCATACTAATCCCTTTACAGAATAGTCTTCTTGTCAGGTGAGAGTTTGTGTTTGTTCTGCCATGGTGACCCATCAAGGGCATTGGATGTGTGTTTGGTTGGGTAGTGTTTCTGCAGCAGTAAGATGTCAGTCTGTGTCACAGCCTTCATGAATGAGAGAAAACATCAGTATCTGTTACTGGGAAGTGTATTTGTAATATTGCTGTGGCAACTCCCACCTGAAAGGAAAGCCTTTGAGGGTTTCTCATGACATTTCAACAGCTTCCCAGTGCTGATATTTCCACCTCTTCTTTAAGCCCACATAATTGACCTGTTTGAGGAGGAAAAATTCAGCCTCAAGGAAGAAGATAGGACCACAGACAGTACGGTCTGCAAAATAGTGAGAAATGAAGTAATCTGTGTTCCTAGTATCTAAATCAAAGTAAAATGAAAAATAAGTTTCTGGTAGCTTTTCATAGAGCCTCTCCTTGTGTTTTGGAGTAACAACTCTTAGTGTGTGCAGTGCTTTGGAGCTTCAAAGGTGCATAAAACTTTATAATAAACAGAACATGAAGAAGTTTAAAAAAGACAAAAACAAAGAGGAAATGCAATGTTTGCAAATTTTTTTTTTTTTCAGAGTGGATCAAAAAATGTCAATGTGACATTAAGACAGCATTTTTTCTGTTGATTTTGTGTTGTCACTGTGTCATAGT